TTTTTTTTTTTTTTTTTTTAATTGAAGTTACATGAAGCTAGAAAGGACAGTCTGCTCGCTTGCCTGCTCTCTTTCCCCGTATCTTTTGATAGACGTTGGGTTGCCTGGGTTAGAATATGTTTGTAGGAAGAGATGGAATGTGGCGTTTCCAGCTGGTTTCTCAGCCTGAATTTCATCTCGTCAGGCACACTGCACGAGGTATTCTAGTCTGACTCACTGAAGTAGCCTTAGTAGCTCATGTCCAAGAAAATAGCAGAGTAACAGGCATAAAATTGATGTCTTATGTGTGCTTGAGCCGTGCACCCGAAGCCATAGTTTGAGTAAATGAGTGTAAGCAGGGCCGGCCAGATAGCTCAGCAGACTAAAGTGCCTGCTTGGGCAGAGCACAGCAGCTGGGGTTTGATCCCTGGCCTGCTGTGCCAGCCCCGCCCCAGGGCTCATTGAGACTGGGCGTGGTGGTACATGCCTTTAATCCCAGCTCTTGGGAGGCTGAAAGTAAGAATCACAGAGTCAGATCTACGTAGTAAGACCCTGTAGACTCTGTCCTAAATATATTTAAAAAATAAGTGTAAGCAGCATGTCACTGCAGAAATAGGGCCGGTGCCATGGATTAGCTTGGTTTGTAACTTCTCTAGTATTCTAGTTTATTTCTACTACTACTAGATCACTTTGGGTCCCAGACTCTTTGTACCAGTTGTTGGTGTCCCAGATTTTGTCCATCAAATGCACTGTGAGATTCCCCGGCATGGGCTGAGGCATCTTCTTAGGAAAAAAAGGTCTGGGGCTGGGGAGATGGCTCAGTGGAATAAGTGCTTGCCTGGCAAGCACAGGGCCTGAGTTCAATCCTCAGTTCCACCAAAAAAAAAGGTCTGTTAAAGTCATTTGCCCATTTTTAAATCAAATTATTTGACTTTTACTTTTGAATTACAAAAGATCTTTACCCTGGGTTAAAGATCATCAGTGTCAGATATATGATGTACAAATACTTTATTCATTTTATGGTTTTCTTTTACTTTCTTGATGGTGCCTTTGGAAATAGAATTTTCAAAAACTTTCAGTGTAGTTCAGTTTATTTTTAATTTGGTTTTGTTTTTGATGTCATAGATAAGCCATTGAAAAATCTAAGAGTGTTACAGTTTTTCTCTTACATTGAGGGCTCCGATCCACTTCCGTATATGGTGTGTGTGAGGTAGGGCCCAACTTCATTCCTCTGCATTTGATTATTCCATTACCCCAAGCATCACTGATGCCGTGAAGTCCCACAGAACGAAGTTCTTTCATTGACTGTATTAACATCAAAAGTGTTTGTATTAGTCATTTTCTCACGGCCACTGTGCAAGACCCAGAACTAACCATTTAAAGGATGGTGCCCAGTTACAGCCCCTGGCCTGGGGTGGGTGCCAAGGTGGAAGGGCCTGGCAGAGGAGAGGGCTCTCAGCAGCCAGAAAAGAGACGGGGAGGAGCCCAGGACGGAGACGCCCTCCAAGGCCACGCCCCTCCCAGGCCACGCCCCTGGTGACCCCCTGCAATCAGTGCCCACCTCCTAAGGGCGAGTCATCTGTCTTGTGGGTGGGATCCAGCCCTCTTCCAAAACCGTGCCTTGGCGTCCCTGAATAATTTAGGGGTCACTCTCGCTGTGCCGCTGAGACACATCCTAGGAAGGGAGCTGGGGGGGCAGTCACCTCTTGAGAGTGAAAAGAACGTGTCTTTTGTGAAAGGGAGCTCTTTGGGAGGTGGGTTATTTGGCCATTGTTTTGATATTGCTATTTTTCTTACTGAAAAGAGGATGGAAAAAGTAATTGTTCCTGAGAGAGTTCCCTGAAGAAGTGTATGAAGACCAGTGGCATGCTCAAAAGGATATTTTACCAGGAACTAAGCATAGCTAAGTTGGGAGGATTTTAAAAGATCTAGGAAGTCTCATTAAATAAAATTCTGTAGTAACAACTCTTCTTTGACTGTCTGCTATTTTTTCCTGACAGTGAAGAAGGGCTGCTCTGCTGATGAAGCCCATACTCTGGCCTCTTCTCAGGGGAGCCCTATTTTCCTTTTGTTTTTGTTTTTAGGTTTTGTATGTGAAGCTGCTAAGACAGGCGCCGTCCTGTGGGCCGGGAGGCTGAGGACAGGGCAGGCCAGTCACATTAGGCCAGGCCTGGGGGGTGGTGTGACTTTTTCCTGATACGATTTAGTGCGGCTACAGAAGTACTTCTACAATTCATAGGCTTGGCTTGTGACAAAGGAACAAAGCTGTTTGACATTTTATGTAGGGAACAGGCAGAGCATGGGCTGGTATCAGGTTAGGTAACTATGACAACATTGACAAGACCCAAACTTAAGGAAACAGAAACGTAAGCTCTAAGGTGGTGCCTGAGGACAACATGGCCTCGGTTTGGTTCTTTTTCCCACATCAGTACCAGTCAGTGTTCACTACAGAAACAGATCTACCACCTGGCATACAAATACCTATGTAAGAATTTACAAGGTTGGCTGATTGACCACACACAGAGTCAGATATGGAAGCGTTCTGAGGACGTCTGCCTACTGGGGCCTGAAGGATCCAGCCCTAGGTCTGGAGCTCCCTGCAGCGTCCTGTGTACGTCCACGTCAAGGAGCTCATGTGTCTGCCCTCGAAGGCTGAAGAGACTGCACCAGAAGCTGAAGGATCTTTGCCAGAAGAAGTGCACATTGGATGCCAGAAGTTGAGATCTAACGTGAAGGCAGACTGGAACTCCTCCAGTAAACCAGAAGCAGATCTGCCCTCCTCCATTTCCGCTAGGGTGGGTCTTCCACATCCCCGGGTGTGCAGGTGCTGAGTGAATTTAGTTGAGCTCCTTCACTCACGTTGACACAAGCAGTTGAGCATCGCAGCCCCTACAAGGCATGTGGCACCTGCTGATCTGTGCTCTCTGGTGGGTACTTGAGTCTCCGCCATATGGAGCCCAGAGTGCCAGGGAAGCAGTGGCCAGTCACGGAGGAACTATGGCCAAGACACACCAGAGTACCCCGCTTCAAACATCCAGGTCTGACCTGATACCTAACAAGGAGCTTCACGAGCCGGCCCCTGCACACCCAGGTCACTAGCAGAGCTAGCAACGGAAAGAGGTGCAAAGTGTGGAGAGCTGCCGTGCTGAGGCTGAGCCTGACTCCAGGGCCGTCTGAAGCATCCTTGGGTTCCAGTGCACTGCCCAGAGAAAGCCAGGGCAACCACGCCACAGAGAGTGCAGGACCAGGGCTGACGTTCTTGCTCCTGGGTCTGGTGCCCCGTCCCCACTTGCGAAGTCTGCTAACCCCACTGTCCCCTCCCAAAGGTGGTGTTGGCTCTCCTGTTGCACATGGCGGGAGCACACAATAAAGTAAGGTCTTGGTGACCATTTTCTCAGGTGTCAGGGGCTCAAGGGAGATGTTCAAATCACAGTTTATTGACAGTGAAACAGTGGGAATCACCCTCATGGAAAGGAGCACCCCAGGTTGCCCCAATTTCAAATCCCTGTGAGACAATAGATGAACTTACAGGTGACCAGAGAGAAATATTTGCACAGTTTTGGCTTCTTAGAGAAGGCGGCAACTTTAGGGGCAATGTTTGGACAAAGAGTATTGTCGGGACCAATAGCAGGGGATGGGCCATTCAGCAAATGTGTGTGCAAGGGAACAAATGTTACCCAGGCCCCGTGGCCCCAGTAGGGTGGCTGGGGAGGGCACAGTTGGTCAGGTGCGTGGCGGGGAGGGCCATCAGCAGAGAAGAAGTGCTTCTCCATGTAGAGCCCGAAGTGAGCGGCGACACCATCGCCCTAGGGATGGGACAGCTGTGTGGCCCCTGGAAGCCATGAATGCTTCTCATTCCTACCCCGCCTGCGTCCCTGCCTTCTTCACCAGAAATGATAACCAGAACTGGGCCTGTGATCTGCGCCCCAATATGGTGACCTGAAGCACTCAGTCGAGTTCTCTTTTTTGGTGGAGGAGGGCGCTGGCTCACCCTGCCTTCAGGGCAGGTCCGCTAAGGCATGTGGAGCTAAGGCAGGGGATGGAACTGCGGTCCCCTGCGCCTGACTGCATTTGCTGGAGCAGGATCTTAAACAACTGAGCTAACCTGCAGGCCCCTTGTTGCGTTCTCTTACTATTGTCCCACAGGTGTTTTGAGACAGAAAGAGCCCTTCCCTCAGGAAACTTCACCCCCTCCTCATGGGCACCCCGAGGGGGTCACACACGAGACTGGCAGCAGAGGGCACCAGAGGGTGCCAGATAGTCAGGTGTCCTGCTATTTGTTTTCTAGGCTAAAGCAGACATGGTGAAGAGCTTTAGCCAGCTAAAGGTGGGGTGGGGTGGGGTAGCAGACTGTCTCTTTGAGTCAGGGTCTTGCTTTGCAACTCAGGCTGGCCTTGAGCTCCCTTTGGAGCCCAGACTGGTCTAGAACTTGCAGCGGTCCTCCTGCCTCAGCCTCCCGAGTGCTGGGGTTACAGGTGTGCACCACCTCCGTGCCTGAACTGGTCATCCTCTTCTGAACTGATTTGGCCTGATAGCTGAGCCCACTTTGCAGGGAGCTGGCCTGAACTGGACTACAGAGAGGCAGGGTGCACACCTTTAGATGCTTTGGGAGTCAGGTGTCCTGCTATCTGCGCTGCTTTTACCTGAAAAGAAATGATTGCAAACCTAGATCCAAATTCCTTTTAAGGTGAAAACTGAGTCAGCGAGCCATCTTGACTCCCACTATACCTTAGAGCCCAAGGCCGGAGCTCCAGGGCTGCTTGGGCAGCGTGAGGGGGAGGGGACAAGGAAGGAAGGGGCAGGAGTTGGAGGAGCGGCCTGGGAATGTGAGGAGTGAAGGGGTCCCAGGAGCCCAACGGGAGAAGGGGCCAAAAGGAGCTGTCTGGAGCCAGGGTCCACCAGGAGTTGGTGCGATCTCCCCACCAGGGCCTGCCCAGGAAGCCACCTCCTCCTCCATTCTTTTTTTATGTTGAGACAGGGTCGCACCAAATTGCCCAGTCAGGGCCTGGATTTGCAATCCAGCAGCCTCAGCCTCCCAGGATGCTGGGATCACAGGAGTCTGCCACCACCCCCTGAAGAACTGCCTTCATTTAAGTTCGTGTTAGGAGAATTCCAAGCATGCAGAAAAGAGCATTAGCTGCACAACAGTCCCCCGTGTGCACGCCTCAGCCTCAGCAGTGAGGGCTTGCAAGGCTTTGTTCCTCTGGATCCTCATGCTCGCACCAGCAGCCCCTGCAAATTATTCCCTTGGCAGCAGACCCCAGAGGTCGTGTCTCTTCCTGCGCTGAGCCACGGAGCCTGCTGCTACTCACACCTGAGCAGAGTCAGCCACAGCACTCACACTGGGGGACACTGGGGGTACTTTGGGAAGGGGGAGCCTTTGAGGGGAAAAAACTTACCTTTAGCCCAAAGTCAGTGACAAAGATGGCAGAATCGCACTTGATCCAGAACCAGGGGGGCTGCCCTGAGCTGCTGAACGTATCTGAAATGACCGAGGAGAAAGCCTTGCTAGGCTTTTCCTGGAGAAGTTGGACCAGATCTGTGTGTGTGTGTGTGTGTGTGTGTGTGTGTGTGTGTGTGTGTGTGTAAAGGAAGAGTGATGCTAGAAGACTGGGAGACTTGGGGACAGCCAGACAGCTAGCATTCGGGTTACAGTAACATAGTCCAAGTTTCCTTTCCTTGAAAGGAAAGAGTATGCTAAATTTAAACACCGTTTTTTGGTTTCTCAGCCCAGAATTTCCCTTTCTGTCTCCTTCACATGGGCAGTCTGCAGACATGGATGTGAACAAAGCAACCGTGCGGAAACACGGAGCCCCCACGGGAGAGAAGCAACTCCAGCCCGGCGAAGTTTGGTGCTTGTGGGGCAGCTCTGTTCTCTAACAACTTGCGGCAACACGGAAACAAAGGCCCCCACTGGTGGGACTGGAACCTGGCCCCACATAACTGGCATAAACATTCCATTGCATTTCCTAGAGTGAGAGGCTTCAGGAGGGGACCACAGAGCACTATAAAAGGGGCGTGGTGGTGCAGGCCTGTCATCCCAGCGCTTACGGAGGCTGAGGCAGAAGGACCGTTGGGAGCTGGAGACCAGCCTGGACTCCGAAGCGAGCTCCAGGCCAGTGTGCACTGCATAGAGAGACGCTGTCTCAAAAAGACCAAAACCAAGAAAACACTTAAAAACCAGGATATTATACACAAGCTTCTCAAATCCGTAATAGTCCTGAAGCTTACAGATAAAGGAACTTGTGACCTGAAAGGCTACCTGTCCACCACCCTGCACATGGCTAATTGTTGCCCGGTGCTCCAATGTCACCTGTTCTTCCAACTTTCTATATCAGATGTGTTTTTTGTTTGGCTCTTGTGACAGATAAATATATGAATAATATTAAGTCACTGTGTTGCTGGAATTATTGCTAGCCAGAGGCCTCAGGACATAACATCCAGGCATCCACTAGATGTCACTGGATGTTTGCTGTTTTGCAGAGGTAGTGGCTTTGTGGAAAAGAAAAAGAAGTTCATTTGCAAATAGAAATTGACAACTCCCCGGGGGTCCCGGGGCCGCGTGGGAGGGGCCGCAAGTTGTAGTGAAAGCTGGCAGAAGTCATTATGTAAAGACAACAATTACAACTTTAAGTAAAATCGGGGTGGCTGCAGGTCCCTCCTGGCGTTTGTCAGGAGGAAAAGAAGCCAGCAGCTTCGCCCTCCTGCTGTGTTGAAACAAAAATGGAAAATTGTCAGGCACAGCTGGATTTTTCCTCCCTTCCAGTCTTGCTTTTCTTCCTCCTCCCTCCCTTGTTTCAGGAGAATATGACTTTCTTAAATGATTATGTTTTCATGAAGTCATTTACAATATTTTAAGATCAATTCTTGTGGCTTCAGCTTTCTCCCCACAAATTAAAACCATTTAATCTTCATTATCTCGGTGAAAGGCACACAACAAACAGAAATGGAGACTTGTAGAAGCCTCGTGAGGGTTCTCTGGAGTCACCACTTCCTGTATTTGCTAAAAATGTAATTCTCAGTTCCAGTAGAAACTACATATCCTGGGGTTTTGTTTTGTGTAACACTATTTGTTTATTTTTTCAAAACTGCATTTTGGCTTCGAGACCTTTAAATAAGTCTCCAGCATTAAGTAAACTTCTCTGACCCTGCGTATTTCCTATCTTGTCAAACCTTTCCTTGTAAGAATAGCAGAGTCCTTTTATTTGGTAGTGTAGAGCATGATGTTTTTGGCAGGCGCAACATTTTTGACTTGCAAAACTTCGTGATCTCAAGCACGGGAGAAGTGAAGCCTTTTGTGGGCCCCAAACCTGAAGTATTCTGCTGCATAGACAGTTAGTGTTACAAAGAAATTGCCACCTATTGATTCCCAAGACATCCCCAAATACCAAGCAGGAATCTACTGATTTTTCACTCATTTACTAAACTTGTTAAAGCAGGAATACTGAGTGAACATTTCGCTTCTACAAAACTCACACAATTCCTCAAAGTGGGCCAGCTAAGTAATGTTGTCCGCTTTCACTCAGTCTTCTTCCACTTAAATAAGACCTAGCCTTAAAATACATTCCAAGCAACACATACTGCGTGGTAGAGGTGGCATTACTGTGCCACGAGAGCATGGAAGAAGTGTCCCTGCTCCCTAATCTTGGCATGCTGAGGTCACAGATATGCTTGTCAGATGGGTCGACAACAGAAGAACCCACAGACCCGAAAGTCTGCAGCTAAGACCCCCCTACACACCAGCACCCACAGGTAGGGCGACGGTTCACTAGCGTTTCCCTGGGGTTGGGTTCACCTGTCCTCTTTCAACAATTTGAGCGTCATGAAAATGTGACTACCTCTCGTAAAGACTGACAAATGGCTAAATGTGTATCTTCAGACACTGAGAATTAACTAGAACCCAAAGAAGGCACATTGGGTCCATTTGAAGGGGCCAGGGGATAAATTCTTATAATCAAAGTGGCTCTGCCACCAATTTTCTGAATCTGGGCTAACAAAAATCTCCTAAATACAGTGGTACTGAAATTAAGGAATTTAACAAGAAATTTCTAAATTAAGTTGGTACCCAAACTTAATTATCCTCCCAATTCCAGCTGCAGAGCAGATCGGACAAGAGCAGAATCCAATTCCCTGTAAGGTTCACAGCCAATCTAATCATTGAATTTGCTTTTTTGTTGTTGTTGTTGGAACCGGGAATTGAACTCAGACCCTTGCACTTGCCAGGGAAGTGCTTATTCCATTGAGCCATCTCCCCGGCCCTAATCATTGAATTTGAATTGGTCCCGCTGCATCTGAAGTCGATGGAATTTGGACAATTAAATCCTAGTACCTAGGAGCACTCTCTTTTAATTTACAACCTAAAAGTATCCTTTTCATGAAGAGAACAGTAACAAAGAAAAAGTTAGGAGCCAAAGAATTGGGTCCACCCTCCTAATTTGGAAAACTTCTCACCAAAGCTTTAAGATACAGATGGACAAATTCAAGATTTTTTAAAAACTCCTGCCCAAGCTCCCTTCCAGTGTTCATTAGAAGGCATTTCTTTCTCCCAGAACTGAATCCAGGGAGACTTAAAGTGTATTAGGAGGGGCCGGGGAGAAGTGAGAAGGTTCTTGCTTTGCTCTTCAGGACAGCAAAAAAACAATAACAAAATGAACAAGGATTCTCATTACATATTTAGCCATGGTATTTATGACAAACAAATTGACCCCAACATGCCAACGATGAAAACGACAAATGCATGTATCTTAAAGTGGCAATTGTTTTTCTTGAGCACATGCATACCAGAATTTGAGTTTTGCATTTGCTGGGGCCAGGGCAGTCTTCTGGGCCCTTCCTACCCACTCAGTGCAAAGGTAGCAAGGCCAGCAGCATGGATGGCATCTACCACCTTTCTCAGACTAGGTTCAGTTCCTATGGAAACCAAGTCATGGCCTAAGAAACTGTGTCCGTGTCTATACAGGCTGCCCTGCTGCAGGAGTGACAGAGGAATCAAGGGCAGGCTAACACTGTCCTCACCCAAGTGTGTGCACTCACAGCAAGTAGGATACCAGACTTCCTGCAGTATGAGTTGGTATCAAAACTGAAGACAAAGTTTAAATGATGAATTTAGCTAACCTTCAAAATCTTCATCCTTTATTCATAGTCTCACTATAATGTTGGTAATTTTTACATATATGTTTTCATCCTGGAGACTACTAGGTAGAGCAGGCATTGTAATTCCTTTTTGCAAATTAGATACGAGCTGGAGGAGAGCTCAGTGGTAGCCCAGGATATGGAAGGCTCCGTCCCCAGCACTGCAATAAAAAATAAGTAACTCTCTTCAGGAATCCTGGGAGAATCCAATCCCACATCTGACCTTTAAACACATTCTTCCCGTGGTAACACAGTACTCAAGTTACTGCTTAATGTACCCTGGTTTTTCCCCAGGGATGAGTTGATTTAGGGACACTTTTTAGGGTTTGCCTGTAACTCTGACACCACTAGAGGGCCCTACCACTGGCCAAGAGACCTAAGGCCTGTATTTCACCTGAGCTTTGCTCTAGTAGGAGACAGATGCTGTTCCTTATATGGAGTTTACCAGGAAAAAGAAAGCTCCACTGGCTCTTCCGAACGTCCTGCTCCTGATTTTCTTTCTCTTCAATGTTGACCAAAAAGGTTTTATGTTAGTACTCAGGGTTAAACTGAGGAAGTGCTGAGTGAGCCACATGCTCCGCCTATGTATGCGTGTAGGTAGGCATGTATGTATGCATGCATGTGTGTGTGTGTATTCATGCACATACATACTAGAGATCAACAAAAAGCGCCTTTCATCACGAAGCTACACCCTCTGCCTTTCTTGTTTTATTTTAAAACAAGGTGCTACTGAACCACGTAGCCTGGGCTCAAACTTTTGATCCTCTTGCCTCAGCCTCCCAAGTACCTGGGATCACCAGCGTAATTACAGGCCTAGCCACACCATACCTGGCTATGTTTGAATTTCTTAACAAAAGTACAGACTACAATTATTTGTGGGTTCTGTTGTTTTCCGTGTTTGCTAGCCTGAGAACCAAACCCAGAGTACCTCAAATGCTAAGCAAGCACTCTCCTTCAGAGCCACACCACCAGCCTATGGGCAGGATTTCATAAGGAAGGTGTAAGGCCCGGACACGGTGTTGCAGGCTTACATGAGCCCAGCCTGGGCAACTTAGTGACCAGCTGGGCAACCGGGTGACTTAGAGATCTTGCATCAAGTTAAAAATAAAAACAAGCTCGAGATGAAGCTCAGGGCAAAGGTCTTGGCTTCAATGCCCAATACCCACCCCCGCAAAAAAAAAAAAAAAAAAAAAAAAAAAAAAGTGGTAAAAAACTCAACTGCTTTTTTATTCCCTGTCTAAAAAAGTAAAACAGAAAAGCAAAGCCGACCTTGGGAGTCTCTGCAGCCAGCATCCTACAGTGAGGGTTCTAAGACAGTGCTCACTCCGCCTCCTGCAGGGTCAGTGTGGCTGGACAGTTCGGAGCCTGGCCCCACCCTATCCCTATCCCCACAGGTGCTGGGGCTGGACCCAGAGGTGCAGGCCACAGGGCCAGTGTCCCTGGGAGATGGATGAAGCCACTGAGCACCACAGGTAGGACAGAGGCACATGACCTCAAAGCCTCCACAGAGCTGCAGGCCCAGCCCTTTGTATTGTTAAGATGCATCCTTTCTAATTGCTGGGCTTGAACTTGCAACCCTCGGGTCTCAGCCTTCCAGCAAGCTGGAGCTTCAGGCCTGTGCCGCTTCACCCAGCCCCTCTGGGCACTGCAGATGAGAACAGATCCCCACTGCTGTCTGATCCAGGCTGAGCTGGGGCGTTTTGGTTGCCCTCTGATCCTTAGTGTTCTAGCTAGCCAGTACCTGTTATTTTCCTGCTAGGCCTCTGGAAGTTTTAGGTGTTTTGGTTAAATTTCTAGGAGAACCCCACAGAATCCCAGGGTACCACATTTATGGACGTTCCTTGGGCTTCTTTTGCATGCGTAGCTTTTTTCCCGTCGCCCTGTCTTTTTGTGGGTTTATCATCAACGTCTCACTGTGCTTATTGATAGAACTATAGTAGCATCCCCTCGGCACAGTCAAGTCCAAAGCCAGTCTCTCGCCCCCTGCTTCCTCTCGGTGCTCCCACCTCTGAGCCCATCTCCAGCCCTGTCTCCAGGGACTGCCTCCTCACCCGCTGTCTTTACCATCCTGGACTCGTCTTCTTGGTGCTGCCCCTTGAACCCACGGCAAGCAATTCCCACTGAGCCATACCCACCGCCCAGGTAGGAACTTCTCGTGTCTCCATCCTCTGGGGATTTCTGATTGCCGAGATCTCCCGCTTTCTGGTTTGGGTTCATACTGACATTTCAACTCAGTCTCCAATAACTTCTCCCCAAACTTATTTTTTTTTTAATTGAGGTACAACAAAGTTGTAACTCAGTAACCTAAACATCCAGCTTGTGACACATATACATTCACATAAGCATCTTCCAGAAGAAAGCAGCAGACAATTCCAGCCATCCATGTACAAGGTGCCTCTCTGCCTCTGCCACGCAGCGACCTCTGTCCCTATCTTCTGTCACCGTCAACTGGCTTTGCTGGTTCTTGGGCTTCGAGGGACAGAATCGTGCAGGATGCACTCTTGCGTCTGGCTTGCTCTTGGACTCGGCAGTGTCATTGTGTCACTGCTGGTACCTGTAGTTTATTCTTTTGCTAATTCTTTGCTCTGAGGTGTGGCCTGAGTGGAAAGTGTCCGGATATTGTAGAGAGAACTGTCGCAAAGAGCTGAGAATAGGATTGCTAGGACACGGGATGCCTGTCAGACGTTTCTTGAGCAACGGTGTAGTTAGAAATATTTTTGTTCCGTTGTGCCCCAGGCCCGGCTGAACTGTGCTACTATAATGAATACATCCCACTTCTCCATGGTTTAGCTGTCCACATGGGTTGGGTGTCATGTATTTACATAATAAAAATTTATTACAGTAGACCTGTTGCCATGAGTCCCCCTGAAAGTCTTCCCCCTCGCTGCCAGCACACTGAGCTCATTTTTCATGCCACTGCCTGAAACACTTCTACAAGGCTTTTGTGAGTATCTTTACGAGGCGTGATAAAAAGCATGGTCAGTGCCGCTGTCAAGTGGCATCCAATGAAAGGCCGGCTCGTAGGGACATCGCCACGTGTCCACACCAAGCTCACCGACTGGATCTGGCCCCGTGTGACTTCCGCCTGTTCTCCAAGTCAGAATGAACAGGAAAGGCAATTCCGAACTGATTCAAGACATCGAGGCAGTCAGGAAAGCATGACGAAAGACACTTAGAAAGGAAGAGCTGCTTCAGAAAGTGGCAAGGATGATGGGATTAAGCGCGTTCAGGAGAAAGGGGAGAATTTCAATGGGGATTAGTGGCAATGTGTCTCTTTTAATACATTAAAAAAAATTTCAACAGTTATTAATCTTGTTGTTGTTGTTTTTGGGACAGGGTCTCACTAAGTAGTCACCAATAGCTTTGAACTCACAGCGATCTTCCTGAGTACAGGCGCACATCACCATGCCTGGCATTCATTGTATTTTTGGTCACACCTGATTCCAAGTCTCCCTCTGGCTCACAAATCAGCCAGAAGTCAGGCTCACCCTAGATATCTGCTGTCCATGCACTGACTCAGTGACTGAAGTCCCTTCCATCTCTGTTCATCACTCTGCAGTGCTGGAGATTGAACTCAGGGCCTCAGGCATGCTGGACTCTCAGCCACTGAGCTCTCCACTGGCCCAAACTGCTTCAATTCTGTGGTTCCACTGACTCGACGTGAGGTCTCTGTGGAAAGCATGAGTCCCTCTCAGGAGGACATTGCCTGGGAAATGGCCCGTGTCACTTCCCTTCACAGCCCCTCAGTCTGAACATTGAAGCAGAAGGACAGTGGGGAGCCACAGGCCTGAGCACAATCCTGTTTCCCGCACTGCCCCATTTCACACAGCCTGATTCCAATTCCACGCCGACTGGAAGAGTGGCCGGGAGCTGAGACCTAGGTAGGAAGGAGTCACTTTCCTTGTGATATAGAGGAATGAAATTCCCATCGTGAAAGACACCTGGGCTGTTTGTGTTCTCTAAAACCAAAGAATGAGTTTTAGGAACAACAGAGGTTAAGAGAAGAATATATTTATTGGGGGAAAGAAAGCTCCCATCCGAGAGAAAGAAGGACAGAAGGGGGACCTGAGCAGGTTGCCCCGGGAAGCTGTCTCTTCCAGGGATTTTTATAGAGTAAAACCATGTGGTGAGGCAAGTCTAAGGTGGTTGAGAACATGGGAACTCACTTAGGTGGGCATGAGGTGGGACAAAACTGTGGTCAACCAGTGAGATTACAAGCACCATTGTTTAGGTAAAATTGATTGAATCCAGGACCAAAAGAGAAAATGAGTCACATAGCAAGTGGCATGAATAACGGACAGGGTCTCTTCCTGTTGGGCGTTGGGTTAGTGACTCTTTCTGGCTCTTTCAAGGTGATTGATACCTATTTAGAATATCAGTCCCTGATGCCCATCCCTAGGGAAGTGTGTGGCTGCATGTGTTTACTCTTTTGCCTTGTAGTCTGGCCCACAACAGAAGTGTTCGTCTTTTCCAAAGTTGCAAAGTCACTTTGTCTTCTATATTGTCCCCTAGCCCTGTCTGACTGCCTATGTTATTTCTATCTAAGCTAGCTGCCTACGACACTTAGATCCTGAAATCGTTTCCCCACTGTCTTTGTGATTCATGATGTAGAACCTGTTTCTCTCTTTGAAATTTTTGCAAAGAATTTTCTCTTGATTCTTAGTATTGTGACATTTCACAGTGATATTAGCTGTATTTTATTTTCTTGTTTTAAGTCATTGCCCTTTGGTACCATTTTCTAGATGATATTCTTCACATTTCTGTCTGATCTTGTGGATGCCTAAAAATATTTTACTTTCATATTTTTCATTTGAGACTCTGGTTCACCCAAGTTCCCTTATTACAGCACCTGTTGTCTCAAGGGTATGATGATTCCTGATGTTTCCTTCTCTTCTTTCCTCCTATGTTTTTCCTCTGTGTGTTTGCAATTGCTTCTGTGTTTTAACACTGTCTTCCACATTAGAAAATCTCTTCTTACACCTGAGGGTCTGTGGCTGCTTGCGTTGGAGCTGAGGCATTAGGAAGCTGAGTGGAGGCCCTGCCTGCAGGAGGGCTGCCCCGTGAACTCCTGCAGAGGCTGGGCTGGGTCTAAGCATGTCCCTGGGGGACCTAACTTTGGGCCCATGGAGGTGTTTCTTGAGGTCTGGTCACTTTCTTAAAAAAAAAAAAAAAAAACTTGCCTCCCTCTGTGACAGTGAGAGGGGGTCCCCATGCTGGGAGCTGAGGCAAGCTTGGGCAGCCCCGTCCTTCTACATATGGACTTCTCCTTAATCTTTCTGCTTCCCTCCTCCCTCTGATTC